GCGTCTACTGCCTCGCCTGCGCGCGCTGGGCATGGAAGCGCTGCCTCCACAGCGGCGAGGTCGACAGCGCCACCTGGAACCTCGCCTCCGCCGCCGACTTCGAGCCCGTGCCGCGCATGTGCCGCCTCGTCATGGCCAACTACGAGCCCGACCTCTCCCCCTCCGCGCCGCTCCTCTTCGCGCCGCCCGGCGGCGGCTACGGCATCGACCTGACCTGCGTCCTCCGCCGTCGGACCTACGCCGACACCCGCGGCCGCGTCACGCCCTACCTCCTCTACCTCGACCACGCCCACGCCGACATCGTCCTCGCGCTCCGCGGGCTCAACCTCGCCAAGGAGTCCGACTACGCGCTCCTCCTTGACAACCGCCTCGGCAAGCGCCGCTTCGACGGCGGCTACGTCCACAACGGCCTCCTCAGGGCCGCCGCCTGGGTGCTCGACGCCGAGTGCGACATCCTGAAGGAACTCCTCGAGAGGTACCCCGACTACACGCTCACCTTCACGGGTCATTCGCTGGGCGCCGGCATCGCAGCCATTCTCACCATGGTCGTCGTGCTCAACCTCGACAAGCTTGGCAACGTCGACAGGACCCGCACGCGCTGCTATGCCATGGCGCCGGCCAGGTGCATGTCACTCAATCTCGCCGTCAGATACGCCGACGTTATCAACTCGGTCGTCCTTCAGGTCACCGTCACTCACTCAGGTTTCTTAATTATCAACACTAACAACTACTCCCTACTGGTTTCAACCATTCTCCATCTTTCTTTCCCTCCCAATGGCAGGACGACTTCTTGCCCCGGACGGCTACTCCTCTTGAAGACATTTTCAAGTCAATCCTCTGGTACATTATATAATAACTTTGTTGTTTTCTTGATTATGAACAAATGATTTACTCCATGTTTTTGTTCATCTAGTGCTGAAAAGGTTTTGTTTCGCAAATTGTTATGTGCTTCATTACTGGCTCGAACTTTCCTCTTGCATAATCCCAGTTGCTCTATTTGTTTATGAACAAATTACTCAACTTGTCAAAATCAGAAACTGTATATCTGTTTCAGGATATATGATATCATCACTTAGTGAACATCACACCTGTACTTAGTGCTCTGCAAGTCAATCCTGTGAGCTGTGTACACCTATTATAGCCAAGGGTAGTTTATCTTATTTGCTGATTTTTCAGTTTATTATGTTTCTGCTAGCTCTGTTGCAGCTGTGATGCGTTTGCTGCTTACTGGGCTCAAGCCAATGTTCAAAAAGGCGACGCTAGGCAGTCGCCTGGGCTCGCTTACGCGCTGGGTGACGGGGTACCGCCTGGCCTAGGGGGGTAGGCAGGTACCTAGGCGGCTGCCCAACTGTTGCCGGCGAAAGGCGGCCAGATCCGCGAAGGCAGGGACACGTGGGGGCGGCGTGGAGGTCGGGAGACGATGGGGGAGGAGCTAAGGTGAGGCAGCGGCAGCCGGTGGGGGAAGAGGCGGGGTCAGGCGGTGGCGGCGGGCAGATCCGCCAAAGCAGGGACGCGTGGGGGTGGCGCGGACGTCAGGCGGCGGTGGGGGGAGGAGGTAACGTCGGTGGGGGCGGCGACGATCGGTGGGGAAGGAGGCAACGTCGGGGTGTCGAGCGATGGCGGCGGCGCGGGCGAGCGACGGAAGTGAGCGTGAGCAGAGGCTGGGAGGGAGAGAGATGGGAACAGAGGAGGGGAGTGGAGGGGAGGGGATAAGACTTGGGCCCAGACTTGGGGAGACTTAGGCCGTTATTGGGCCTTCTCTTCTTTCTCCACCACTGATCTGCTATTTTTTCCTTTTCTTTTAAGTATTTATGCATATATTAGCTACCGCCTAGGAAAACGCCTAGGCCCGCCTAGGCTCTAGGCTACGGGTCACCGCCTAGGGAGCGCCTAGCACCTTTTTGAACTTTGGCTAAGCAAGTTTGACATTAAGCTATCTTCTTTTTTTGGACAGCTTGCCATGCCTCCTAGGTTTGAGATGTTTGAGAGATACATGTATACCCGTAGACGCTATGCTAAAGGATCCAAGGAGGCTTTATGCACCAGGCCGGATTTATCACATAGTGGAAAGAAGAATATGCAGGTACCCTTTCCTCATTTGGTATTCTAGAATGCAAGAAACATCATGTGGCCCCTGATGCATAGTATCCGTTAGTTGCGTATTGAAGGAGGTGTTCTCACAATTGTCAGAAATAGAGAACAGGGTATGCTAGTAGTTTAAAATATTTGATAGTATCGTTTTAAGAGAACCATCACCTCTTTATTTTGCGAATATGTAGTTCAACTATCACCATTGACTGTAAACCCATACTGATACTGCTAGGTACACCATTGATATTAAACTTTCCCAGCTGTTTTACATTTCTTGGTCAGAGTACTGGGTGTTGCTAATGAAGGTGTCCAATATTTCCGAAAACAAACTGAATTCCTTGAAACACACAGGTGCGGAAGATATCCACCTGTAGTCAAAACAGCTGTGCCGGTGGATGGTAGATTTGAGCACATAGTTCTTTCCTGCAACGCCACAGTGGACCATGCCATTATTTGGATTGAGAGGGAGGCCCAGAAGGCTTTGGATGTGAGTTGTTTATAGCCTTATATGCTTCTACTCATGCTTACTCTCTATTCTTTGTCTGTAGCCTTTATCTTTGGTACTGATAAAGTGAACCTCCTTGCATATCACTGTTTTTTTTTCTTTCTTAACTGTGCATGTTGACGATATGTAAGGGTCACGTGTGGACGTGTGGGGAATGTTTTAGATTCTATTCTTAGCATTATAGAACCTAGAAATGTGAAAATACAAGAAGAAAGTTTGAAGAACTAACTCAACTAATGTAGTGACGACAAAAATCTTTTCCAAAATACAGTTACACATTGGTTAGATGTCTTGGAATTGTGATCTCCCGGCCTATTCTTTAGTCGGTAAGAGAAAGGGATGGAACGGGGTGGAAACACCCCGAACCATCCCATTTGCCCAAGTCAGCAATTGAAAGGATTGGAAACACCCCCGAACGATTTCGTTTTATCCTGATCGGGGTTACCAACCTAATAGGTGTCGGCCCCCGTTGTGGAGCGATATATATTGGGGAAAGGTCCTGCAAGGACCGGAACTGAGACCTAAGCCCATTTCCCTGTCCTACCGATTAAGGACCATGCTGAAACATTGGAAGGACCGAGACAAGGCCCAGAAACAAGAACAGAGAGAAAGAATTGAAAAAAAAGAGATGGGAAGCTCATCTGGTGAAGGTATGTGCATGAATCTCATCTCATGTTGTGGTTCTATCTTAATCTAGATGATCCAACATAACTAACAAGATGCATTTGTCGTGTGAACGGCCCTCTAGTCGAGTTCGTTAGGTGGCTCTATTAGCATTCCTCGGGTCCTAGGTTCGACTCCCATGAGCTTAGTTGGTTAGGTGGCTCTAGTAGTATTTCTCAGGTCCTAGATTGACTCCCCATGAGGAGCGAATTTCAGGTTGGGATTGAAAAAAAACTCCTCGTCTGTCCCACGCAAAAGCACAGGTCTAAGGCTAGGCTCAGCTCCGGTTGTGGGCTGTCTTATTCCCCGCAGGTTGAGTTTTTTTAGATGCAGTTATCGTCCAAAGAACAGGTCTAAGGCCCGTCCCCGTCGTGGGCTGTCTTACCCCCAAAGGCTCAAGTTTGTTTAGATGCTGTTGTCGTCTTTAGAATTGTTCATGTTTGGAAATGGAGTTGTTGAATATGAAAGTAGACATACGATGATTTGTTCACCAAGCAGATGCAATCGTACAAATGGGTGCAAGTTAGCTGCTTCTCTGATTTTTTTTCCCGTGCTTATTACGTGATTCCACCGCCGATGTGCAGCTGATGCTGGAGGAGGAGGACACGCTGGCAGTGCCATCGGAGCAGCGGATGGAGCGGAACGAAACCCTACAGAAGGAGCACGTGGAGGAGCACAGGGCTGCTCTGCGCCGGGCCGTCACGTTGTCAGTGCCAGACGCGCGGTCACCATCGCCGTACGGTACGTTTGACGATGTTGGGCAGCATCACCACCAGCCAGAGAGGAGCGAGAGCTTCCCGCCGGCGGGGCCCAGGCAGCGTATGAGCTGGAACGACCTGATCGAGCGGGTGTTCGACAAAGACGAGGACGGCCAGATCGTGCTGCGCAGCTCGGTTCTTCTATGAAGAGCGCAGCCTCCCGGCCTCACCTGGGCCGTTGTAAATTCCTTTGGTCTTGCAACTGTGCTGCCGGCTGCCTCTCTCCCAGCAGAAGCCCCCATTTTCCTGACAGTGTGTTATTGGATGTTCAGTGTCATTTATTCAAAGAAGAGAATTATTTGTGTTATTGGTTGTTCAGTGTCATTTATTCATAGAAGAGAATTCTTTGTCTTGTATGCGCGGCTCATATACCGACATGAGCTGTCAGCTGCGTAGACAAGTTTTGTGAAGGAATAATCAAGGTGAAGAGTAGGTCAATTTTGGCACCATTTTCCTGGCGATCTTGATATGTAAAGTTAGGATCCAAACTCACAATCTGCATTGCTGAACATCATTACACGCCAGACAGTACGATCGAGACACTTATTCCCGTTTTGCTCCATGCGTATCAGCAGAGTCACTTAAAATTTTGGATTTTTGACACTCGAGGGAGATGGAGATGAGCACAATGCCTTAGTTTTCAGATTTCACACCCAAATCTGCATAGCTTCGCCCCATGGCCATGAGATGTAAGTCACATATGGACGATATTGTTTGCTCACGGTGTGGAGCCGCCGGCTACAAAAGGATGTGAATTCACCGTTTATCAGCAACTCAACTAAACCCACTGGTCTTCCTTCTTCAAGACTAGAGTATATGCAAATAGGCTTTACAAATTGAGCAGCGAGTTCTATATTTAACAGCTAAAACATCAGCTGATACTACTGCCTAAAAAAACAAAGAAAAAGAAGAAAACATGTAAGCCATAAGGCCTGAGCCAATCAGCCACTTGTATATGTGTATGTAATAAATATGCTACCAATCTATACTTGCAGATCAAGAACCGCCTCACCTGCAAACATGTAGCACGATAAGGTCAACATGGGATTAACAGGCGCTAAAAGGGGGATAGCCGTCAGACTACTCCAGTGGCCAGTCCATCTTACCATGCATTCTCTTGACGAAGCGCTCAAATTCAAAAAAGTTGGGTCTTTCAAACAGAACTTTGCTAAGCCTTAGGTAGGTGAAACCAAACAGATGTCGTCCATCTGGGTCATTCAGTGGTTTGGCATTCTCCAAAATCTTGTTGAATCCATCCCTATCATAGCAAGGTAGAGCGTTCTCACTAGCCACTTGTATACCAGCATCCCAAGCAGCATTTAGCACCTGAAAAACGATGCACCCAATTTATTAAACACTAACACTTCATCAATCCGTTCCAAATTAAATAGAAAAAAATATGGTGTTGTACTAAGTGCCAACTACTCATTCAGAGAAAACCTACCAAATAGTAAGCTGTTGCTAAGAAATGCAAAACATGCAACGGAACAATGGATCCATACCTGCCATACTAGGCCCTCTGGATCTGCAAATGCCTCAGGGTATACCTCATGCTGGTCCATAGTGCGCAATTCAACACATGTAAAGTTCAAAGCAGCATCATATTTCTTCAATACTGCAGCAATTGGAGCATAGCCATCACGGTTACATGGGTTGTAAAATCCGGCGGTCAATTCAGCAGCATGACTGGCAGTTTTGTACCACCAGTGCACCCCAGAGACCTGTTAATATCACAGAAGTGGTTAGTGCTATACAATCATTTCATGTGATTTGGATAAAAATGATAAAGAATAAGGTTGTTCTGACACTTATAAGATCAAGTTCCCAGAAACAAGAAAAAATGCCCACAAATCAACCACCAAAATACTGAAATAGGCTTTGAATAAATAACAAAGACAACTGACCTTAACAGCAATGTTTGAATCCTCAAAAGCCAACCTTGCTAACATCAGTACACGGTCCGCGTGATCCACCAACGTCTGGGAGTACCAGCTGAGGAAAAACCGACCATAGTAGCTATCATAATCTCCTCCATCACAAAAAAATCCAGTGAGATTTGGTTCAGAATTATAATGGCCAGCATTGTCAGGCCCTCTTGCCCATATGGTATGCCCCCGTGCTTCTGCAGCCTTTCTCAAACTTTTCTGTAAGTACCTGTCATAGCACTGGAGCAAAATACATTAGCAATTGTCTATGATATACCAATGGTGTCCTGAGACAGTGAAAATAATGCAACTAAGAAAGTGATACAAAGAACAAAGTGTGAGGATTTACCTGAAATTCTCCAATGCCAGGGTATTTCCAGCCATGTTTTGCTGGATAAGATGGATATCGCAGCTCTCCACAAGCCCCTAGTCCAATCTCAATTTCTGAGATGATCCCATCCTCAAAATACTCATCAAATTCTACTCGGAAGCTTCTCATGAAATCAAAATATACCTACATTGATATACAGGAATGAATTAAACACAATTGACCATCCAACTTCCAACAAAAATGAATTGAAATGTTTGAACATAGAGAACAGGCATTGTTGTAGCATAACAAAATAGTCTCGTCACACACATGAAAGTACTAGACATGACAATGTATACAAAACATATCAGTTTCATGTGAAGCCACCCTCAGCTTCTCAGGTTCCAGTTATCGTCCAGAGTAGTAGTAACAGAACTTGCTCAAGGAGACAAGTGGAAATCAATAGGGGTGTGTTTGGTTGGTGGATGGGGCTTGCATTATTATTGTGGCTGAGGGGATACAGGCTAAGTGGAACCGTATTCCAGAAAAAAAGGTGTTTGGTGAGGTTGCATGAGCGGATGCAAAAAAACTGACATGTTTGGTTGTCTGCATGAGCGGATGCAACCTGTCAAACCTATGAGACTGACACGTGGGCCTGTCACCCTCATCGTGTATCCACTCAGCTTGGCTCGGCAGTGAAGCTCGATTTGGGCGTATCCTGCCAACTTGTATCCACTCATGCAATTACATCCGCTCATGCAGTCATGCAGCCAACCAAACATGCTTCTCACTCAGATTTATATGGCTCCACTCATACAGGATGAGTGGAGCAGACCAACCAAACACACCCTAGAATGATAAGCTGTGTGGATGCTGTGAAAATGTGAAATGACTCCTGCGTCGCTTTGGGCTGCAAACTCTAGCGTCTATGATGAATGATGCTTCTTTTGAGGACTGGTGGAACAGAGCCAATGATATGGTCGATGGACAATTGCAGTGAGGCATAAATTCCCTCATTATCCTAGGGGCTTTGACGCTTTGGAAACATAGGAATCAATGTGTCTTCGGTGACTTTGCTGCCAATATGGCTAAGCTGGCTTGCTACTTGCTGAGGAGGAGGCGCAGCTTTGGGCAATGGTTGGAGCGCAAGGGATCTCCTTCTTGTCTGGCAATGTTCCAGTGACTAGGTCATTCCAGGTTGTTTGTATTCGTAAGAAAAAGGCGTGTACTTAATTTTGTGAACCTATGGGTGTGCGTGAGTGCCCTTTCTCCTATTTAAAATAATGATACACAGTTCTCATGCGTGTTCGAGAAAAAAATAATGAAATGACTGTACCTCCACTGCTGTTCTGCCTTGCAGAACCCTTTCTTTATCAATTCCCCATGATAAGCACTCTGTATTACGTCTTCCTGCCCTGTCAGTAAAGTAGATATCCGGATTGCTCCTTCCAATTTCTATTACCCAATGTGGGAGGGGAATGGATATATCATCTCCAACATTGCCACCGCATTCATGAAATGACATGACGACCTAAGAAATTTTGCGAGAAAAGCATTTAAGCGACATCAGAAAAGGACATCAAACCTAAAGTACAGCAATTTTCAACCAACAGATGAAGGATGTGGAAGGAGGATTGCATCGAGAAACATACAACAGTCCAGAGACCCATAAGTTTCCAAAGGGTGCATTGAGATGTTAAGCCATCTTACCTGCAACTTGAGCTTGAGCTCCCTGATCATCTGGAAGAGGCGCCTGTAGCCAGTCCAGTTGTACTCCTGCGGCCTGTGCGCCTCGACGTTCCCCCACCAGCAGTCGACCATGACCCCATCCACTCCAGCTGCCTTGAACACCCGCAGCTGACCCACCAACTCGTCCGCGTCCACCACCTCGCCGTTGCCATTCACCACCCCAAGCTGCAAAAAGCACGCTTCTGATTGGGACGGCCACGATCGCGCAGGTCCAATCGAAGGAAATGGAAGAGATGGGCACTCACAGGGAGCATGATGTAGACCGGCACGTAAGGCGTGCCAGCGAAGTCCCGCTCCGGCGGGCGCGGCGCCACATCGGGCACCTGCAGCGGCAGAAAAGTCCGACAATAGTGAGAGACAGATGAGCCAAGCGGACGTAAAGCGAAAGGAGGCGGCGGGGAGTCGCCTGACCTGCTTGGCGACGGGGGCGTCTTCGGCGGCGGCGGCGGCGGGGTCCATGGGGACGGGGACGGCGAGGAGGTGCGAGGAGTTCCCGTCGGGGACGTCGTCAGCCGGGGGTCGCGAGGCCGCGGTGGCGCGCGGGGGCGAGACGAGGAGGCCGGACACGGGCGCGGGCGCTGCGCGGTGGGAGATGGGGCGCGCGGCGACGGGCGCGATGCCGCGGAGGGGAAGCGCCGCGGAGGCCGGGAGTGCGAGCGGGTTGGCGGAGGGCGGCGCGGCGGCGACCATCACGGGGCGGACCGACTGGAGGAACACAGGAAGAGGAGGAGCACGCGTCAGCATTTGATCCGGACCCGGTGGCACCGAATTTGGGAGGGGCCCGGGGAGGAGGAGGAGGAGGAGGCGGTGGCCGGTGGTGGAGCGCGTCCTCGGGAGGCGGGAACGGGGGAGAAAAAGAGAAACCTAGCAACGAAAGCCGTGAGCTCCGTGACGGCCTGTGCGGCTTCGCCGCTTTTGCTTGCTTGTCCCTCCTCTGTTCTACTTAGTACTTACCCCTTTGCGTGCCAATTGCGATGTTCGGTCCAGAAAAAACGTAACGCAAATATAATACTCGTAAAATAATGCGGTGCTAATTCTTTTCTCTGCTTGTGTTATTTTCGCACAGTACGGTATTCCAGGATTTTCCCATAGTCGGTATATTATCAAACGTACACATATTAACTTTATTATTTAATTTGATCGACCATTCTATTCCCCTGCAGAATTTATTTATTTACTTATTATCCACTCTTTTGAAACCACCGAGTTCCATTTATGACATCATATAAGTACAGTAGATATAACAACTCACACGCTGGGCTGTGTGAGATCACTTTTTTTCGCCGTTCCCCTTCTCTTCCTAGGCCGTGTTTCGCTTTGCAAAAAATTTTTTAACCCGATGAATCATACCATTTTTGTTTTATTTGATAAATATTGTTCAATCATGGATTAATTAGGCTCAAAAGATTCATCTCGTGATTTTCAACTAAACTATGTAATTAATTATTTTTTTTATCTACATTTAATACTCCATATAAGCGGCTAAAAATTAATGTGAGGAGAGAGAGTAAAAAACTTAGAATTCGGATGGCATCGCTAGTTCGCATCGCAGAGCTGCCAGTTCAGTCAGACAGGCCGCGTTCCATATCTTCCCAATTGAGATACTGACAGACAGACTGACTCGGAAGGAAAGGAAGGAGAGCAGACAGAGAGAGAGAGAGAGAGAGAGAGAGAGCAACCTGTGCAGCCACGGCGGCGGAGGAGGACGAAGAGGGGAAGGTGGTGCCGTCGGGGAGGACGACCCATCCGGCCTCCCTGGCGAGCGCGGCGATCACCTCGTTGATGTCGGCTCGCGCCCGCAGGCTGTAGTTGCCGTGCTGGCGCAGGCCCGCCAGGATCCGCCCCGTGATCGCGCGCCGCTGCCGCTCCCGCATCTTGGTCCGCTCCTTCTCCTCGCGCGCGCGCCGCCGGTTCGGGATCCCTCCGGCCCTGCCGCCGCCGGGCGTCGACACGACGGCGGCTGCGGCCGGGCTCCGGGGGTCCATGTAGTAGCCGTCGTCCTCCTCCTCGTCGCCGTCCTCCTCCTCCTCCTCCTTGACCCCCATCTCCTCGTCCTCGTCCTCGTCGGCCTGCCCCGCCCCCGCCTGCTGCATCCCGCCCGCCCGGCCGGATCTCGCGCCGCTGCGGGTGGAGATGCGGAAGAGGGGAAGAGGAACAAGGGGGAGGAGGGGAGGACTAGGAGCAGTAGGGTCGCTCGCGCGTGCGAGGCATGCGGCGGCGTGCTGCTGCTGGGCCTGGGACTGGGAGAGTGATATGGTTGGCACGGTGGCCGCGTGGGAGCGACACGTGTGGGAGGATGGACGGCCGCGATGGCCAGGAGGCACGCACGCTTGGAGCGCCTCCGCATCGCCTCGCCTCCGCAAGGCGCCAGGGCAGGGGAAGGAACGGGGAAGAAGGATTGGCACCGCACATGGGGCGCATGTGATTGGGCGTGCCGCTGCTACCGTTACCCTTTCCCATCCCAGCGCACGCGCGTCTCCCCTTGCCACGCGCCCCCATTGGCCATTGACCCATTGGCATTGCCATACGTGCAGGTGCAGGCGTGCATCAGCAGCGGCTGCTTCTCAGATCTAAGCAGGGGGCAAAGATCATGAGGTTTTTGGTGCTGCGTTTCAGACATGGGTTGCTGGCATTTGCTTGTCTTGTGCAGCTACTCTGCTCTATTGGGTCGGAGTAGATGTTACCACTGAAGAATGCCAATCATTTGTTCAGACATTCAGAGCACAAAGATTAGCTCTGGACAAACGTCATGCTGCCTTTCCTGCTATATTGGCGTCTCCACTGAACAAACATTAGCTCTGGACGTACCATTCCACACAACTGCTACCTTACATTCACTGAGAAGCAATGTGTACGTCCAATGCACAAACGAATCGAACACAGCAGACAATTTGCAGGTACAGCTTCTATTGTTCACATCTCCAAGGCGCGATGCCTCTTTGCTGAAAAACGTCCCACTGCTCGATCAAAAAATTCTCGAGGGTCGATATTTTCCAAAGAAACTAATAGCTCCATGCATCAGTTGCAACATTTTTCACTTGAACAGAGTGGATATTTATTTGCTCACGAATTAAGCCAATGGTAAATCCTGAACAAAGCGATTGTTCCAAAATACCAACAAGACAAAAGGGCGTGTTCCATTTGATAGGAGCAGCAAACAAAACTACAAATAACAGAATAAGTAACGATTATCGGATCCTTCTTTCTTGGTGAGCTGTTAGATTCACCAGGCAGTAGGTAACGGATGCATTTCAACAACGAGTCAGTGAACAATTAGCCCAGCAACCGTGATACTGTTTGTTGTGTTGCTTCTGCTTTAGACTTTGAGCTTTGGTTGCTTTGCTTCCATTGGCATCCTTCAAGCTCCCGACAAGGAAATCAGCATGTTCCACAGGACGATTGGCTAACTGTTAGCCTCATCATTGCATTTTCCATCTCACCGATTTGTTCGGACAAGCAATCACAATTCCAGAAAACGCGCTTGCATATCCAGCTACATTGACTTCGCTGTTAACTTGGCTCAGGAGATAATACAGTAACTGTACCGCTTCACAAGCTTTCACTCAGGATGCACTAGTGCATATCGCTGAATTCTAGCATATCATCACGTGCACAAGCAGCACGAGTGCACAAACAATATTTGACAAGGCTAATTTTAATTCAATTCAGTTGATCAACTCACCAGAGACCAAGGGGCTGCTTGGAAACGTTGCCCAGGCCTTGCCTTGTTTAGATTGTAAATTTTTGCAATCTGGACACTGTAGCACGTTTCGTTTGTATTTGACAAACTTTGTCCGATCATGGACTAACTAGACTCAAAAGATTCGTCTCGTGATTTACAACCAAACTGTGCAATTAGTTATTTTTTTTACCTACATTTAATGCTCCATGCATGCGTCCTAAAAATTGATATGATGAAGAGAGAGTGAAAAAACTTGAATTTTGAGGCAATCTAAACAAGGCCCCAGTTTGCCTCGCTGGTGACGCAAACCACGAGGCCCTTGCCAGCCCGAGCAAGCCATTTTGGCTCTCGGGGCAGCAAGACAAACCTTGTTGGCGCGGAAATCAAAGTAAACTGGAATAGGATCCAAACAGCTAGCCTCAACTTTTTGCTTGGCGAGGTAGAACAGGACATGGCAAAGGTACCAAGCAGGCCCCAAATCCAGCATATGCATATATCAGCCTATAGTCCTTATCCTGAACTGACACCTCGTACCTTGGTGAGCTCTAAGTATCGAATCAAAAATAAATTCTCAGGTAACATTTTCCCAAAAATAAGTCCTCAGGTCATATACATCTTCAGCTGTGGGATCGTTGTATGCAGAACTAATGAACTATCAATATAAATTTAGAAGAGAACTAAGATGCTTTAGTAAGGAGAACTCCTCAAGAAAGCCACCATTCCAATGAAAACATCCACAAAGGTGATCAAACTGTAATTCTTTCATTCAAATGCAGTTTCAATCACAATATTTGACAAGAAGATTGCAGAGAACAATATAAACAGCATCTGAATACTGATTCGCCTTGTGGTGTTATACATTGTTTCAGGAACTGCACTTTCAAGTGTCCTGATTAATATATTCAGTTCCCTGGTTTCTTTCTGAGTAATATATACAGTGTGTGAGCTCTAAACAACATTTTTACATATCACATTCTACTGATTACAGAAGGATGATAAGCCCTTCTTTCTGATCGCTACTACAGTTGACAATAATACATCTGTGCAGGAGAGGAATCAATCAAATGTACAATCTGGCCTCTTACCAGAACAAATCATCTACACCCACAGACGTCGATGGTGGGGGCGCTTCCTCCTCCTCCATCTCTGGTTCAGGTTCCATGCCAAACTCCGGGGACTCGATATCAGCGAGGTTCTTCAAGTCAACGACAGATAGCTCGTCCAGTTGTTTCACCACAAGGTCTGCAGCACTAAGCTCGTAGATTTTGTGCTTGCTTGCGACTGCGACACACTTCATACGGGCATCATGTGCTGCTTCCACCGCCGAATTGGAGTTCCCAAACACGATGCACCTCTCCGGGATGAAACTGAGGAGCTGAGCAGCGTACAGAAACATTTCTGGGTCGGGCTTGCCCCGGTACACGTCTTCCGCTGCCACAACCGCATCAAAGAAGCTGCGCACGCCAACAGCTTCAATGGCTTCCTCGATAACCTTCCGTGGACGTGTGGTGGCCACAGCGATGGGGATCTTGTAATTGGCGAGCGTGCTCATGAACTCCCTGGAACCGTTCCTCATCTGGTGGTAGGAGCCGCCTCGGAGGCTGTTGTGAATCTCCTCCTTCCTCAAGGCCAATCTCCTAAGCTCCGCGGGGTCCCGAGACCAGCAGAGAACCTCAGAAATCGCCTGCTCGTTCTTCATCCCTTCGACTCTCCGCAACACAAAAGCGGGAGGCGGCGACTTGCCCTCCTCCTGCGCCAGGGTCAACCATGCCTGCCTCTCCAATTCGGCATCATCCTCAACAATGACCCCCTCCCACTCGAAGATGACGCCGAGCCACCCGCAGCCCATGCGCTCGAGGCGGAGCAGCGGGTTGTGCAGCTTGGGGTCATCTGCCCTGTTCTGTGGAGGCGACGGCGCGGGGCTGGTGACCCCAACATCCCCCATGTCGCCACCGTCCCCGGGGATCCCCCGGTACTCCCTGCGAGGGCTGGCCTCCTTTGTGACACCCATAGCCAGCGCCCTGATCGGCCAATCGGCGAGTCGAGGCGACGGCTGCCTGTTGACCCGGGCCACGAGGCGGCGGCCCGCGAAGGCGGTGGGCAGGGGGCGGCAGGCGACGACATGGAACGTCCGGCGGAGGTGGTGGTGGTGGGAGGCGCCGGCGCCCCTGGACCTGTGGTCGAACAGGTGGGGGGCAATTATGGAGGTGCTCGCGCTGACCGTATCGACAACCATGACGGCCGCTGGATCCGGCGCCCTCCCACCTAGCTACGAAGAATCGAGATCCCGGAGCCCAAACCTGGCTGCCCCCAATTATTGGGCCAATTTGCTCGAACCGTCTGTTCCTCTGCCGGAATCGGGCTGCTGCAAGAAGAAGAGGAAAGAAACGAATAGCTGAGACTCCAATCCAACACATGAAAGGAGAGGAGGAAGGCAACCAACAAGCAAACAGAAAGGCACGGGTACCTAACTAACTCCAGGAACCAATCAATCGGCTGTTGAAGCTCAAGCCGAGCTCAATGATTGGGTGGGCAAAGAGAGGAAGGGGAAGCGGACAAGGCAAGGAGATGAGGAGGAGGCGGTACCGGCGGCGATTGGGGGATCGGACGGCGGCGCAGGCGTCGGTCGCTGGGTCGCGGAGGAACGGGAGGTTTCTTCGGGAAGCCGCCTACCTTGTTTTAGCCTCGCGTTTCCTTTCCTTTTGTTTCGTTTTCTTTCTTTCTCCCTTCCTCTCTCCTCGTGTCGCGCGTCTTTCGGGAGATTTTATGGTGAGCAGTGCCGCTGAGCCGCCGCGGTTGTCCGTGCGGCCGTGCCTCCGTGGAGGAGGAAAGAGAGACGAATCTCCGCCGGATACGTGACGCGTGGCGCCACGAGGAACGTCTGATGGGGTTTCGGTCGAAACGTGAGAAGGCCCGAGGCCTAGGGATCGTGTTCTCTTGGATTCTTATCTGCTTTTCTCTCGCGCCATCGGAATTCTCTTCCCTCCTCCCTCTCTCTCTCTCTCTCTCTCTCCGCTATAGATGGCCAACGGGCCAGCCTGGCCCGGCCAGGCACGGTCCGAAGGGGGTCAGGCCGGCACGCACGTCGTGCCGAGGCAAGCGTCGTGCCTGACCAACGGCCCAGGCATGGCCTGATGGGCCGTTTTTTGGGTCCGGCCGGTCCGAGAAGCACGGTCCGAGGCGGGGATCTGGCCAGCCCAGGTGAGAGCGAGAGAGAGGGGGTGGGAAGGGAGGACGAGGAGGAGGAGGCTAAGGCGTGGTGGAGGCTGATGCCCTCGAGCTGGATCCAAAGGTGGCCGACGTCCTCGACCTCGAGCTGGGTCCGGAGGTGGCCGACGTCCTCGACCTCGAGGCGGATGTGGAGGAGGCCGACGCCCTAGACCTGGATCCGGAGGAGACGTGGAGGCCGGT